GATTATTTAAATAATCAATTAATCGCACTTGGAAACACGTAAAGCCCCCCCTACAATACGAAACTACAACCCTAGCAAAGGTCATAGCCTACCTGCCGACTCCAGGTGACCCAGACAAGCCTGATGTTGAAGTAGGATGTCGAGCAGCTGTGGCTGAGTGGCCGCTTGTGCACACTCCTCCAGGACAGGAGGGGTATCGCTGAGCCACGACACTGTCTGTAATCAGATCATTTGTTACCCTCTAAAACAAAGCACACATCTCCACACATGACTGATGTGTCTTTGTCACTACCTGGCTCAGGTTTGGAACTGGAAGCAACTGGTCGAGTCGAATCAGGAATTCCCACAACAGTTTCTCCAGCTCCTGGTCAAACTTTGGGCCATAATCGACTGGAAACTGTTCCTATCGGAGAAACGCCAAGATTACCATCTGCTCGCTGTTATTGACATTTCTCTTCAGAGGGGCTGCTGGTGGACAGGTACTCACTTTAAAGAAGTGCTCTTTCTCAGCTTGGTTTGTTAGCAGCGTTTTAACAAAAGCATGGAAACTTTCCACCGTTTTCACAATCTTTAAATCCCTCTTCTGGAAGACAAATAATCACAGATTACACTTTTTACATTTTATTGCCAAAAAAAAACAAAAACAAATCTTCAAACACTATCATTGAATAAAAAAAGAAAAAAAATCAACCTTATATACTAATGTGTGTAATGCTGTTTTATAGACACTTGGTAGTGGGGGTTTAACCTTTTGAACCTGTCCAAATAAGCCAAAATCAGATATAAAAATACAGCCTGTAATATCAAAATAGCCAACTTTGTTAAATTTACATAAACAATTTCAATTTTAAAGTGACCAATTGCTTCCCTGAATGGTTAGTTGAAATGCAATTCATATTTAAATGACAAGTAGTGTATTGGTTTTGCATACAAACAATACCCTCTGTGTTATGGTGCGTTCAGATTGGATGCAGTGTCCAAGGCGGAATCACATAGTGAACACTGAAGATGAAACGAGCTGAACCTTTCTATGAAATCACGACATGGCAGCCAATCAGGGACTGGTTTTAAGCAAAGTTTTTTTCACTTAAAACGGAACACAGAGGAAATAATGTTAAAAAAGGTAGATATCAGGAATCTTTTCAAGATGTTTTTAGTTGACTTTCAAAAAGCTGTTTTAATTTAGCCCCAGAACAACGGCTCGCTTTCCTCCCTTACCTCCAGCACAGACCCTGGTCTGTTTTCTGTGTGGTTAGATTTATAAAGAACCACCATAGAATGGGACCTTCATCTAGATGGAGCTCTGGATGAATCAAAGTGGACTGTTATTTTCAGTGCTTCCTGGGCTTTTTCAAAAGGCAATTCAAAGTTGTGCATTGAGAACAACTTAGCAGCAGTCCATGATGCCATGTTTACCATCTGCTTTTAATATGAAATGCCGACAGCGAGACCTTGACAGGAAACGACATGGGGTTGTCAGGGGTAACTGTAGGTCAAAAGCAGAGAGCCTGGGAGGCTGATGATTTACTAAATATTAAACAATCATTCCAGCCAATAAATAGGGTAAATATGTCCACTGTTATAATCAATAGCAGCACAGGAATGACATTTAATGTTATGCAAAAACTGTGTATCCTGAAACAACAGCATTAACCTCTGCTGGGATGATGATGCCATCAACAGTAATTGAAAATGATAAAAAAAAAAAAAAAAAAAAAAAAAAAAAAAAAACATATCAGCACCAACAACAGTTTTACCTACACAAATGAAGTAGCACTGAAAAAGAAGGCTAGGTCAATTTGATTCAATTCGGAGCTGGATGGCCTCAGGTGACCTAAACAATAGGGCTGTAACTAGCGATTATTTTGCAAATCAATTAATCTGTCAAAAATTATTTTGACTAATAATCGGATAGCCAAAGGTTCCTTAAAGATTGATGTTTACAAAATCAAACAAGGTGAAACTAAAACTTTTCCACAATTGAAAGATAAGTTTTATTTTTTTCTTCATCTTAAATGCAAAATGTTTATTTTTTTTTCACAATATAGGCATAATTTCTGCTCAAAGTGGGTTGCTCTGTGAGCTAAAGGCCTGTTTTAGAGTCTTTATACTCCAGTTAACAATTAATCGATTACTAAATTATTTGACGATTATTTCAATAACTGATTACTCACGATTAATCCAAATAATTGTTTTAGCTCATTAAAAATGTATCTTTAATATCTTGTAAACAACATTGGCACATGCGATTGTTTTATTTATTTTATAATTTATTTTTTACAAATGACCATTTTAAATGCACAAATTCAGTCTATTGGCTGAGTTTTTTTTTGCACATCAGTGGGGTGTCAAGTTTCACGCAGCTGAAGCTCGTCCTTTTCAATGATGCGGTCCAGGGTGTAAACACTGCATCAGAAATGCAGAGCAGTGAACTAATTAAGGGGCTTGCGTAAAAGTCACTGCGGAAACTGCCTTCAGTCTGAATGCACCATAAAAAATAAAAAAAATCTATGAAACACCAACCACATAAACATAGTAAAGGTTCGTAAACAACTGATTATTTTGAGCGTGAGCTAATCATCATTGGGTTTAAAACCTCTGTCTTGTGGCGCCCGTCACGATTTCTTTGATCTAACAGCCCTGTATGAGCATTACACCAGCTGACATTTTGAGCCAGTATTAAAAGCTGCTTTTTATTTTTTTGTACAGCAATTCACCAACACATGCTCACTTGCACAGATTCACTAGTGCAGTCAGCAGTCATACCATCTGCTATTGTCATGTTTGACTTAATGTTTAATTTTCGTTTAAATTGAGACGTCTAACCTCATTTTTAATCACCATTTCATTTTTCATCATGTGAACGGAGGAAAAAAAAGCAATAGTTGCTTCAACAACATTCCTATCCTCTATATTGATTTACACAAGTGAGATCAGTCTTACTGGTGAACATCCTTAGGGGATTCTGATAGAATCTAAGAAGTTGCTGACTATTATTTTCTTTCAGTGAGAAGAAGTAACTTTTGACCGTGGAGCCATGAGTGTCCCACATGCAGAAAATATTATTTGAATAAATAAAGTTATTCAAATTTCATATGGAAATGTAGGTGTTTCCATGGATATGTTGGGCATTTCCACATATTTGGTTAACTCTGTGTTCGTTGGGATGACCAAAGTAAATTGTTTGTTCATGCTTAGATCCACGCAGCCAGAGTCACATGCATCTGGATTTTACAGCATAGATTTCAGGATTTTAGTTTAGTTCAGGTTTCAGGAGGAGAGGATTGTACACTTTGTGCATGAGGTCCCAGGGAATCTACTTTAGATCAGTTCTAATAATCTGCTTCTTTTATTCGGCCTTGCATCGATAAACATTGCCCTGTTCTAATCAAACAGGTACCCCAAGATGAATTGCAGTTGGCTAAAGGTAAAAATTTATCCCACCATAATTGGAACGAAATGGCGAAAGAGAAAAGATAAGCAGAAAAAGTATTTGGTCTGAATTACAATTCCAGCTCCACTTTACCATAGTAGAGGAAGATGAGGATAAAAGAGGAGCAGGAGCCCGGATCCTCTCCAGATGTGGGGCAATCATGTCAATATCCGGCTGTTTGAGACATAACTCCAATATCAACTGAAAAGACAGAAGGAAAAGTGATTAGGAAGTGCCGTTTAACTGAGGAATTATAGTTCTTATTATTTATTAAACAGTCACCCGTGCTCTCAGGCCCAGTGCCAGCTTTCCCTGATGTCGCAAGGTAAGAAGTCCAGGAACAGTCTCACAGGCTGAAGTGACAAATTCCTCCACGACCCCATACTGCATCACATCCCTCTGCTTCAGAACCTTCCAGAGAGCTGCCGACACCAGGCGGACAGGAGGGGCCAGGAGCTGGAGAGCAGCAAAAGGAAGGCTGGCATCTAGAGAGGGAAAAAAATTTTGGAAAATTAATTTGACTAAAGAAGGCAGCTGTTGGAAGCATAGTGAGGATAAGGCAACATCAGTCTGGTGTAAAGAAGGAGTTTTGTTCCTTAGGAAACAAAAAAAAACACATTTTATTTTGGAATAATTTCATTATATTTCTCAACATACTGATAAATACACAGTGGGGAAAATAAGTATTCAAACTCCCTGCTATTTAACAAGTTCTCCCACTGAGAAATCATGGAGGTGTCTGAAATTGTTATTGTATGTGCATGTCCACTGGGAGACATACTCTACAAAGGAAAAAAAAAAAAACAGAAATCACAATATATAATTTTCTTTTAGCATTTTCTATGTATGATACATCTACAAATAAGTATTTGAACACCTGAGGAAATTAAATATTTGGTACAGTAGCCTTTGATTCTGATTGGTTTCAATTCTAGAGGTGAAATGTTTCCCGTAGTTCACCAGGTTTGCACACACTACAGGAGGGATTTTGGCCCACTCCTCCACACAGATCTTCTCTAGATCTGTCAGGTTTCTCGGCTGTTGCTGAGAAACAGAGTTTTAGCTCCCTCCAAAGATTCTCTATTGGGTTTAGGTCTGGCGACTGGCTAGGCGATGCCAGAACCTTGATATGCTTCTTACAGAGCCACTCCTTGGTTATCCTGGCTGTTTGCTTTGGGTGAATGGCTGTTTGTACTCCCTGCAGCAGTGTGTCGCAGTGAGGTTGACGCAGACATTTTTGATTTATGCTCAATTTTGAAGCGTGGTTTGTGCTATACGCTGTGGGTCTAGATACGGCCGAGGCAGTGAGGAGGTGGGGGCAAGTTTGTCTGACAACGGAGAGACATGAGGGCGAAAAAGAGCGGGGATCCAGGTGGAAAAAGGGTCCCAGCTTTCTCGCACACCTCGCTCTTCTCAACTTCACGCGTTGTTTTCCGCAACTGCGGTCATAAAAACAAAAAAAGCCGGCCTCCTGTCCACGGCCACCTAAAATTTTGGAGAGGTGCAGAAGAGTGTCTGCTGAGGCGGCGGGGCCTTTTTTTTTTGCTCACTGCGACACCTACGCAGACGACCTAATTTCGAAGTATAAATCAGCCTTCATTGTCATGTTGGAAGACCCGGCTTCGACCCATCTTCATTGCTCTAACTGAGGGAAGGAGGTTGTCCCCCAATATCTGGCAATACATGGCCCAGATCATCCCCTCTCCTTAATACAGTGCAGTCGCCCTGTCCCATGTGCAGAAAAACACCCCCAAAGCATGATGCTACCACCCCCATGCTTCACAGTAGGGATGGTGTTCTTGGGATGGTACTCATCACTCTTCTTCCTTCAAACACAGTTAGTGGAATTATGACCAAAACATTCTATTTTTCATCTGACCACATGACTTTCTCCCATGACTCCTCTGGATCTAGTGTATTATCAACAGTAACCTTGGAAACGGTGGTCCCAGCTCTTTTCAGGTCATTGACCAGCTCCTCCTGGGCTGATTTCTCACCTTTCTTAGAATCATTGAGACCTCATGAGGTGAGATCTTGCATGGAGCCTAAGTTTGAGAAAGATTGACAGTCATGTTTAGGTTCTTCAGAGTTCGAATGATTTCTCCAACAGTGAACTTTTTTTCACCAAGCTGCATGGCAATTTCCCCATAGCCCTTTCCAGCCTTGTGGAGGTGAACTATTTTGTCTCTAGTGTCTTTGGACAGCTCTTAGGTTTTGGCCATGTTAGTCGTTGGATTCTTACTGATTCTTTGGGGTGGACAGGTGTCTTTATGCAGCTAACGACCTCAAACAGGTGCTTCTAATTTAGGATACAGGCCTTTGAGGGTCAGAATTCTAGCTGATAGACAGGTGTTTAAATGCTTATTTGCAGCTTTATCATTCAAATAATTAGTTAATAAATCATACATTGTGATTTCTGGATTTTTGTTTAGATTAGATTATGTCTCACAGTGGACATGCACCTACGATGACAATTTAAGATCCCTCCACGATTTCTAAGTAGGAGAACTTTAAATAGCAAGGTGTTCAAATACTTATATTATATACTTATATTATTTATATATAAATAATACTTATTTTCCTCCACTGTAGATATACTAGAAAATCTAGCATTTGAATTGCATCATGTCTCTGTGAATGCACTTCTAATGAACAGCACATAGCAGTTGAGATATCCCTTTTTTGTGTTTAATTTTATTTTATTTGACAGATCAACACACCTAAGCATACAATTCTAATGTAGAATGGTCTTAAATATTGGTTTCAAATGAAAATCTCCCAAATTTGGCATCCATTTAGTATTTGACCCAGCTAAAGCAGGGCTTTCACTAACTTTGCACTCCAACAGCATGATGCTGCCTACACTATGTTTCACCATAGGGACATCTGTATAGTTTTCCCGCAATTAAAGCTGTTATTTTAGGTTCAAATACGTGGAAAGCATTCCTAAGTTGGACGCCCATGACTTTGTAATTTTGTACATTTTTCTTTAAAAAACGTCAAGTCATTTCGAGCTGCCAAAAGAGTACATTTTGCTTGCTAACAATGTTTGTTACCCAATAGCGGTTAAAATCGTAATTTGTAGTTAACTACTTACCGTTTTCTTTGCTTTTTTTCTCAGCCATTGCAAATACTCCGTTTAACTGACGTTAATAAAAGTTAGCTTAGCACCGAACAGAGGCAGAGTTAACCACGTATGCTGGTAAAATGAGTGAACACATGTAAAACCTTTCCGGTCTCGTGTAGCGCTTTAAAGCACAAACGGTACAATAACAGCAACGTTATTCGCTGCTTCTTGGTTACAAACCGAACTAAACAAACTTCTATCGAAAGTTCCGCTTCTCTGCCATCCCGCCTTCATTGAATTACCAAGAGAAGCTTGGATTATCACATTTGACATGCCGAGTGGTGCTTACCGAGTCTCTATATGAAACATTGGTCACACTCCGCTCGGGTGGGTGTATCGTTCAAATAATCGAGCATACCCAAAAGAGATTTCAGGATATGACGTAGAAAGTTGCCCGCCAGCTGGAGAGACATTTCCAAGTGGACACACGCACTAAAAAGCAAACAAAAAAGCTGACATCAATAGTCTTTAAAAACATTTCTTGATGTAAGCGATATTTCTGTTCTGCAATTTTCTATATTCCAGCCAAAAAAAAAGCAAAACAGTCCATTAAGATATTAAACAAATATAACGAGAAAATATTTGACATAATACATTTATACCTTTCTTTGTTGTATAGAAACAGTTAATATAATATTTCAGAAGTGAAAGTTTAAAATATACACTAATATACATTTATGTAATATTCTGATTAGCAGTCAGCAATATGTCATAATATATGCAAATGGGGGAATAATTAACAAACTTTAAAAATGGCTATAAATTTTGTTTAAAGCTCTATAAGGCCAGAACACAGACTGCTGCTAAATAGCTTCTAAAACAAACTTCAAATAAAATGGATCTCCTTTATTTTGTTATTATGGAAAGTTAGTACAAAACCCTTTTCTCTTTTTATTTCATACAATGTAACTAAACAAAAAACATGAAAAATAAGCAATTTAATCACCTGGTTGCATAAGTATAAACACAATTTTACTAAAAAACTTTACTAAAACATGTTTTTTTTTTTTCTTTAGCAGCGGTCAGTTAGCTGAACTTATCTTAAATATAATAATGATCCACTCTGCGTCACAAAAGTTCCCCACTTCTATTGGATTGTGAGGTTATATCTTGTCCATGCAGCTTTTCTGGAGACGTCTATGGCTCTGTTTTTCCGAACTGTTAATATTCTCCTTGGTAAAATATTTTTTTAACCCTGCTTAAGAAAAAAATATATATATATTGGGACTAATAATAAACATCCTTCTGAACTGAAAACAAAAACCAATAATTACCTAAATAAACACAGTGTTACATTGAAAACAGGCCTAAAACTAACGTCTGCTTACCGACATGCTAAGGATTGTTCCATAAAATGTTCATTTAAATCTAAACTGTCAAGTATGATCAGCTTTACACTTTGTTATTGGTCATTAGAAGTATTTAATTTTACTTGATTTAGTCATAGCCAGAGTGAACTTTGCCTTTCTCTGTTCTGTTTCTGCATTATCAACAGGTTGGAGGCAAAGTCCAGCTCCTGGGTCAAACACAGAGAGGAGCACAGGCATTTATCATACCATAACAGCTGAAGAGCACAGCAAAAAGCTGAGAAAAGAGCAAAGAGAGAAGAATGGAAACAACATCTTCACTTCTCAAGTAAGTTGACAGCTTCTTTTTACTTTTTTCTCATTGATAATTGCCAAATCAATAATGTTAGGCTGAAGGTTCGGATTTACTGTGGCTGCTTTTAAGGAGTGGCAGTCTGTTTTTTTAATCATAGATAAAATCAAAATTCAGAACCTAAGGAAAAAAAAAAAACACGTTTACTTTGCTTTTCTGGTTGATTTATTTCAGATCTGTGACCAAGCGGGTCTGGTCCCCACCTCAGCGACCTTTCAGAATCTGCTGTAACAGAAGGGAGACCAGGAAAGGGATCACAGCAGGGACCCTGAAGGAGCTGAAAGAGAGGGTCAGAACAACAGCAATATCATAATAATGACAGAAATTAAGAGAAGAAAATATTTAACACAACATAGATGTGGAAAGATAAAAATTTACGCTCAGCCAACATGTCAGATTTGTAGACGTTAACTGTATATTACAGCTGAGAGGGGGCCGGTGGGAAATGATGCTTGTTTACATGTTTTATCAACTGATCAAGCTTTGGTTTAAGCATCTGATGCATTAAGAAAATTGAAGACATCCTAAAATCAAAGATGAAAAAAGGATCACTCTGTAATAATAATAATTAATTTTAGGCACTTTAAGCTTTCACACAGATTTCAAAGGTAAATAGTGCATAATTGCCAAAGATGAAACCCTGTTAAAGAAAACATTCCAGTTTTATATTTATATTATATACCTTCAGTTTTATTAATTGGGAGGTTAATTAAACACATCACAATATTATCTAACTATTACAGCGGTTAGTGTTTTGTCTTTAAGGTCCATTTTTCTATCTTTCCTAGTTACCAGCTTATTATTTTCCAGTTTGGTCCCAATGGTTGTTGAGCCATATCTCACTAAATTTTAGATTGCTGAGTGAAAAAAAAAAAAAAAATCAGCTGTAAGGACATGAAAACTGAGAGCAACTTCTAAACATGTTAAATCTTTTGAAATATTTTAGTGCTCTCACAAAAATATTTAGTTCACATTTTAAGATTTATATAGATTCCTCACATAACAAATAATCATTAACTTTTTTTTAACATAATTTCAGCACAATCCAATTCAATAAACTCTACATGTTGGAGATTCATATGTATAAGATTATTTATTAATTTCTTATTTATTTAAAATATAAAATCAGATTTCAAATACATTTTCAAATACATAAAGTTTATTGTTTGAGTTGCACAGCTAACATTATTATTACACAATTCAAGCAAAAATCATAATGTACTCTTTATAAACTCAGTATTAATTCTGCATAAGTATACTTTATTAATTCTAAATCCATAAACCTGACAGTTATGCATTTTAATTAAATAAACTATAGTTAAATTATGAGTATGAATCAGGTAATGTTTATCTAATAGGTTTTGTGTTGAAATTATAAAAAGACAAGGCAAATTTATTTGTATAGCACCATTCAGTACAAAGACAATGCAAAGTGTTTTACAAGATTAAAATATAGGAAAATTAAACAGAATCAAAGCAAGTAGGAAAAAATATGAAAATATATAAATAAAATAAAGAAAAATAAAAAAATGCAGACTCCAGCAATGACGTCTTTACCAACTTCTGTCAACCCTGTTGACTTTATAGGTCCCGGACCTATTTATTTCAAACACAACGTTGTTTTATCAAACCACAAGATCCCTGACCTTGACACAATATGGTACCTACAAGATCCCTTAAGGAGTAAATGGGAATTTTTTCAGTTATATTTATTAAATGTTGATATTTGAGAGTGTGGGTTTGAATGCAATACTGCATGACTTGAGTCAGATGCAGCTATTATCTGCAGGTTATCCTCTGAACAGCCGAAGCCCTAACTTAAACCCTAATTTAAATTCTTCCTAACCTAGAACATAGTATCCTCTATTAGGTATGCCAGGCTTTGCTGCTGACCATTTCTGCAGCCTCTGTGTACCTGGTGTGTGAGGATGATGGTACTGAGGTGGACTCTGACGAGTTCCTCATGACCTTGCCGGACAACACCACGCTCATGGCCCTAGAGCCCGGACAGACATGGAAACCTCAGGCGGTGAGTTGGACGCCATTCTGGAGTCTTTTAACGTTTCCTCTACCTGCACCTTCTCTCTGGGTTTGATTCATCCTTTCTATCTCTAAAGGGTTCAGTTGTGCTTAAAAACCACGACAAGCCTCGTACTGGTAAAGACATAGCGCGAGTCACCTTTGACCTTTACAAAATAAGCCCCAAGGATGTGTTTGGCTCCCTTAGTGTGAAGGCCACATACCAAGGTCTGTACTCGGTGAGCGCCGACTTTCAGTGTCTGGGGCCAAAGAAAGTCCTCCGGTAAGTGGATCTGGGTTATTTATTTAGGAGAAGCTCAAGATTTTCAGCTTAAAATTCAATTATTTATCATAACACCTTATGAAAAAAACATTTTTTGGTGTCTGTGTTGCTAGTTTTTTTAGCTGATAAGTTAGCTTGTTCAAGTCAGAGTGGTTTCAAATGGTTAAAAGAAAAATTCTAATGTTAAAACTGAAAACTGGACGTTTTTACTCATTCTAGCTCATCCTCAAATTGTTTTCTAAAATGCTACCTCCCTGGATGGGTTTCTTGGAGCTTGTATAAATCTTATGTCTTCATACAGGAGTGCACTATCTAAATCAGATAATTTTATGATGTTTTTTTTTTTTATTAGGGAAGTGCTGCGTGTCGCCTCCGCCCTCCTTCAGGGTGCGGGGCACCTGCTTATCACCGCTGCATCTATGATCCGACGCGTCATCGAAGGCGCTGAGCTCTGGCAGCCGCAGAGGGCCGAGTACACAGCCAGCTGGCATTAAATCTCTGGCCTGTGTTGTTGCCTCAACATGAAATGTTGCCTATTTGACATATTGTGACTTTACTCTTACAATTAGGCCTTAAATTGGCAATAGTATTACAAATATAAGTCTCCTTTCTCCTTAATACAACCACGGACTGAATAGTAGTTTCTAGCTGTGTATATTTGTATTTTTGATGTGGGAGTTGTTATTCCAATTTTATGGTAGTTGGTGATTAACAATATGTTAAGATTTTGTTTATGACAGCTTATAATCATTGTGATCATAGTATCACAATGAAATGTGAACCTGAGCAGTGGACTGTTTAGCAATAACTACTTTGACGGTATTAGGTAAGCTGAATATGAAAACAAGTGTCTGTTAAAATTTGATTTATTTTTTTTTTGCTGCTGTGTTTTAAGCAACATATTTTATGTAGTATCCTTAAACCTTCCTGTTTTTTTGTTTGTATATTTTCTGTGAAGCCTTTTCTTCTGCAGGGTGAAAAATACTACGATCTCAATGAGCGAATAATCTGTGATATAAATATTTATATTGGGATTCTTTGAATAAAAATTGTAATAAATTATAACAAAGAAAAATGGAACAATTTTAATATAAATTCATAATCATGTATACAATATGTTCATTATTTATTAAACCTACAATTAATTCAATTGTTTCAGTAATTCTGGACACAGGGTAGGCATACACTTAAAATGAGAATTGGGATTGGTCAGTTATCAACTGAATATATATATATATATATATATATATATATATATATATATTATTCCAGCATTTCTTTATCTATGATGTTATCTGAACTCCCTTAAAACACTTTTTAGATGAAGGACTGATACATAATTAAGTATTTCTGGCCAGTGTATCTAAATGCTATGTCCAGATATTTAGAAATAACGAATCAACATCATGGGAATGAGTTTCCAAAGTGCTTTTATTGAGCTGTTATAAAAACATTTCTACAGCAGTAAAAGGCTGACTGATGTAAAGCTGCATTCAAACTGCAAATGAGGACCTTTAACACGATCAAACAGTGAAGTGTAACATTTGAAAGGAAAGAACAAAACAATGAAAATCCTTTTTCTAAAACTCGTCAGAAAAAAATCTCACAAATTTTTACCAATCTTCTTATAAACTATTGTAACAAGTCTGCGTGGAGAGCGATCAGTTGCTACTCTGCTTCTCTCTCAACTCCCTGAGCAGCTTCTCTGTTCTGTTTCTTTAAAATGTTTTGTTTTGCTGGTTCTTGATGTTAGCCGACACCTCCTTGTGTTGATTCACTGTCATCCAGCTTGGCCGGTACTTTTTAACATAATATCGTGCGTCCACAAACCACTTGACCAATATTTGTCTCTGTATGCCGACCAGCTTTGTCAGCAAGCTGTACTGCTCAGCGGTTGGATACTGGCACTGCAGGAAGGCGTTCCTTAGCAGCAGCAGCTGACCATCTGTCTTCAAATTGCTCTGAGACTCTGCTGCCTGGGTCTCCTCCTGTCTGGTCCCAGAGGTTGGAGCAGGATTCATGGTTTCTTCCTGTTGGTCTGACTGGCTCCCTGTTCCACTGGAGACTAGTTTGGTCTGTGCTCTTCTCTTCTTGGTGAGAACTGGTTCCATCTTGGCTCCATTAGTGATCCTCTCATCATCTTGTTTTTTACTTCTTTTCCTTCCCCTTTTCTGCTTTCTTGGTCCGTTCCGGTTTACCTCTCCTCCACACTCTCTTCCTTCGCTCTTCTGATCCTTGTTCTTCACTTCTTTGTCAATAAACCTGTCTGTGAGCTCCTGATCTTCTTCAGCATCATCATTGTTGGATATTAAATTGTTACAGACCTCTCTGATGTCCTCATAATCCCAGCTGATCCCACAGAGGAGCCTCTGGGCCATAAACCAAACCCTCACCTGGTCTGGATGGAGGGAGCAGCGCTGAGCTAGAGCAGCAGTCTGTTTGGGTGTTAGATAGGGGGACCTGCTGAAGGCCTTGTTCAGCTCCTCCACCTCATCTGGCTGCATGTCCACCTCGTTTGCATGAACCCATATCACCCTTTTATCCTCACAGAGCACAGGGAGACATAAGCGGGCGCTCCATGGAAGCGATGGAGCCTGGTTGCCTTCAACAGCAGTGGGTGTCTCCTGTTTGGGTGTGCTCTTTGTTGTGTCAGCAAGGTGCCTCATCATAGAAAATGGCTACGAAACAAAGCAGATGAACAGAGAGGTTATAAAGAGTCAGAATATGAGCTGAATTTGATTTAGTCTAATTATCTAAATCTCTCTCTTCATTGGACAGACTGTTAAATAATAAGGAAATAATTGTAGAGCCATTAGTATACTGATTTAAAACTGGATGATGTACACCTACAGACATAAAGGGCTGGTTATACTCCCTCCAGCAGTGTGTGGCAGTGAGCTTGTCGCAGACACTTTTATATAAATTCCCATCTGCGCCAAGTTATTCCACGCCACAATGCAAGAGGGACAATATGGAACTAGCTGTGGGTCTAGATACGGCCGAGGCTGTTGGGAAGTGGGGGAAAGATTGTGTGACAACGGCGGGACATGAGGGCGAAAACGTGAGGAGATCCAGGTGGAAAAATGGTCCCAGCGTTCTCGCGCACCTCACCCTTCTAGCTGGTCCAACTTCTCGAGTCGTTTTTCGCAATGGCGGTCATACAAATAACACAAGCCAGTAAGGTACCAAACAGGAAATGCGCATAGTGTAGAGCGGATGTAGATTTGACAAATCAGAGGCCTCCTGTCTGCGGTCACCAACAATTTGAGAGAGGTGCAGCAGAGTGTCTGCGGGAGGGGTGAGGGCACATTTGAATTCACTGGCCTTTGTTTCTGGCATCAAATTGACTGTTTAAAACACAAAGGCAGAACTGCATCATATGTAAACCATCAACAAAATGTCAAAGACACGTAGAGAGCACTATTAGACATACATGTGTATGGTTTATTAGCCAAAATAGTCAATGTCTGGATTAACCAACGTTATATGACATTTAAAAAATATATACGCCAGTAACTGGGTGCAAATTTATTTTCTAAAAAAATGACTGCTGCAGGCGTATTATTTGTTATTTTCAGGTGTTGCACTCTGCCAGGGCTCGATGTTAACCATTGCCCGATCGCCCGGGGCAAGTAGTTTTTATTGTCGGGAGAGTACAAATTTCATTGCATTTGCCCCCCGGCAAGTGCAATGATCGCAAAAAAAAAATATTTATCACTCAAAATTACTTTAAAATCACCGACATTCGATGAAAACGACCAGAAGCATTGCCGGCGCCATTTTTGTTGTTTTGTACACATTCTCGCATGATTTGAAAAAGGAGCGAGATTTTCTGCCAGATGGCGTGATTTTTGTCCGGGAATTGGCGTGAATCAGACACATTTTTTTCGACTTGGAAGTATAAAAAATAACAACAAGGCAAACAAAAAATGTAAGTACAGTAACACACCTACCACCTATTTTACCCTCCACCCATTTCACCCACTATCCAGATAACCCTAGATTAAAAATTATCGGTCAGGGATTAGGAAAATTGGCATAATTGTATGCCATGCGCACAGTGTAAATATGGCTATCTTAAGGCAGTCTTTTGTAGTGATTCAGGTCATACATTAAAAAATGTTCACAAACTTTTTTTTCTCTTAGAAATTGGAGAGGTGCATTTAAATGTTATAGAGCTAAACAAGTTAAATTGGTGACCTGTTATGTTATTGTCTTGTTGCTGCATTTATGTTGTCAGGGAAAACTAATCCATAGTCAGTTAAAAGTCAGGGAAATCTGAAATTATCTAAGACTGTGGAAACCCTGTATAAAATAACTATGTATAATGATTCTCTAGAAAAGTCACATTATATTAATAGTATTATCTTGTATAAACATACCGTCACTCTAAAATTAAAGTCATTTGTGACATTGACTTCTGTCTTGTGATTTATCTTAAGTTTTTAACCTGTCAATATGTTTTTAGATTTTTAATATTACAATTTATATTTTTCCAAGCACACAACAGTTTAAAGCAAAGTTTAGTTTATCTGCAGGAAGGATTGAAAAGCATGTTAACACGGTAATGTGAGCTTGAGTTCATTATCTGACGCATGCATATACACACCAGGAACCTGTAAACTTAAAAAATACTGAATTATAAGAAACATAAAAAAACCCAAACATGTTTCATTGATATATATACAAAAATGAATATTAGGAACTGTATTTATCAAACATTATACTGGGCTGTAAAAAATTGTTTCTGGGCAAATAAAATGTGAAAGTCACTTGCCCAAAGGGCAAGTGGTAAAAATCCCCCCTGTCTGCCTTTGCTTAATTTGTTAATAAATAAAGCCCTTTGTGTGTATGTACTATAAAAACAGTAGTGTATTTGCACAGTGGTTAAACAACAAAGTACTGGGGCTAAGCAAGTTAGCAGCTCCCTGGTTTCAGTCAAAGCTGCTAAAATCCAGAAGAGTAATCAAAAGATTCAATTCAGGGTTTTATGCCTTGAGTTAGGGCTGGGCGATATGGCCTACATAAAAAAAATCTGTTTTTCTTTATTTGTAATTCGATTTACAATTTTTTTTGTAATTATTAATTGCATTATTGGAATTATTAAGTAAAACAGTAAGTGCATTGGGGCACCATTTCTTTGGCTATGCGTAAAGCGACCCTGCTCCTTTCCAGTCATATGGGTTGCTTTGCACAAAAGATTCGGCAACAGTTAAGGCCAATTTATGCTTCTGACACATAGCCTCTGCTACCGTCAAATCTGTCCTTGTGTGCGACCACACCCCCCAAGCAGAGGTTCTGCACCATCGTCGTGCACCTCAAAAAAATCCTGACTAAGTGTCGGATGGTCGCAAACCCACGCAGACCTCAAGCGGAAGTGCGCAGACAAAAAGTGATTGGTCCTTGGTATGCCTTTCTGGCTATCTGTGTGGTCGTTCTTCTCGATTTGGTGCCAGGGTGCACCATTATTAAAAACCGAGGAACAACTACGATGGACAACTACGACAAAAGGTTAATCGAGAAGGTTAGGAAGTACAATCCGTCAAAGTTCTCGCCAGTTCTCAAATAGGCTCCCCCTAGCACTTTGGCAGGAAACTGCCAAAGTGCTAGGGCACGTATACTAGAAAAACTGGTTCGCGACCAGACCAAAATGACATTTGATGTTTGCGGTTGCAGAAGTCTAATCTGCCTTTTAGCCGTTTTTTAGCTGAGGCTTGTTAGTTTTTGCAAGTTTGTTCTTCCCGGAGAGACTGGCATTTTTCATATTCGGCTGCATGTGACTCTTTTAGGTATTGAAAAAGGTTAGTGGTAGTGATGGGTCCAGCAACACCGATGCGGCGGTCGCATATACGAGCTCTAGCAGCATAAAACCATGTGTCGGTGCGCATTTCGTTTTAAGAAGGTCTCCTGACCGATACAGGAGCTGTTTGAACCTACTGACGCACTAAACTGGATTTAGGTAGAAGATGTCTTTCAGTCATCAATGCACACATTCAGCGACACAGAGGAGATCTTTCAAGCTGGGCACCGTTTCATTCACAACACCTGTGCCATCAACCAGGAATCAGAAATACTTTAATAATCCCAGGGAGAAATTACTTTCATTATATGACTCCATCTGTAATACAGTGACTATAGGACCAGTTTAATGTAACACAATTTCATGCAGTATATATAATTAGGGGTCCCTGCTCCATCTCACCATTAGTTTGGGGGTCTTTGCCCGGAAAACATTAACCTGACAACAGCCAGATGCATGTCTCACTCCGCCTAGCTCCGCTCACATACGTGAGTGGAGCTGGGCGGAGCGAGACATGCATCTGGCTGTTGTCAGGTTAGGAAAACATTGCTTTAGAGGCAAACTGTTAGAGATGGACGGAGGGTTATTGAGGATCAGAGGAGCCTGCGGCCAGAGCGAGTGGTGGAGTGGGATGAGAGAAGGCTTTAGCTGGTCCGTCTCAGTGCTGGGTGTAGGTTTCAGCCATGCTCTCTAAGGCTAAATTAAAACGGCTGTTTTAAAAGCCATTCACAAACCTAAATTTCCTCTATCTTCAATTTTGATTGAAAATTGATCTCCGCTGCCTCCTTACTAAAGCTGCGATCAATTCATGGCACTTTCTCATCTCCTAATTTTTATACTTAAAGGTATAAAGGATGATCTTTTATTTACGGGTGGATCCTCTCAATAAGTGGTCCTCCTAATTGTCAATCATTCTGGTGATATGTTTACATAAGGCCGTCCTCCGTGCTCGTCCCATTAGCTATTTTTTTCTGTGCATGCGCACTTTCGGGCGTATATCTGTGGTGAGCTACGGATTCAGACAGCCATTGCAAATGACTGTCATCTTTCTCACCGTGGTTCTTTGAAAATGGCCAAGGGTCATAAGAGAAAAAGTGTCTTATGACAGTCCTATTGTTAATAATATGGGCCCACTGTCGCCGTAGGCTGTCGCTACCCGACAGCGTGACTGATGACAAAGATGGGGCAGGCACCGCGCAGTGCAGGAGAAGTTATGTAACCAACAGGGAGCAAAAAGTAGTGTCTGAACGGTCAGTTAACTGAGTTCTCTATAAAGTCCACTATATAGTGCTCTCTCTATATAGTGATTGAGGGATATAGGGGTTAGTGCGGAAATTCGGGCACAGTAAGCAAGTTTTAAACAGAGCGTGCATATGGAGAAATGGGCTCGTGCCTGTTCTCGCACATGTGGAGGACAGGTCTTTTTAAAAAAATAAACGAAAATCCTCCACAATACCTTTAATAATACAATGTGAATGTACCTGAGACAACAGTATTGAATGATCTATGGATTTGATGCTCTAATCTAACGAACCATGCCATCACTTGATAACGTTATTTTATTTTATTTATTTGAAAGGAACAGCATGTATTAAAGAACAGCAGGATCTGTAAATACACTTGGATTTGGCTCAAGGCTAGTTTCCTTCCATAGTCTCGTAAGATAGGGGCAGCAGATACAAGGAAAAACATAAGGTACATGTAATAATATGTACAAGAATACAGACCATAAATGAAACATACATGTAACAAGGACAAAAGACACACAAAAATCATAAAAACAATAGACAGTTTCAGAAGAAATACAATGCAATACCCACAGATGATGTAACACACAGTGAACATAACAGGTGATGCGGACGCCGCAGAAGCCATTTTTGTAACATGACCGCCTCAGTGTTGTTGGAAAGAGTAGCATCATGTCGCTGATAATTACACACTGTATCTTTAATCTTCTTTCCTCTTGTATTTCTAATTGGAGGCTCTGAGGAGGATTCACTAGAACTTAGGGTTGCTGTAGATGAATTCACTTGCACTGCAAGGTGAATCTTCAAAATATAGCTCAACACAAAGGTTTTTTAGTGCATTTTGCCTACATGTCTATTTATTTTTGCTCTGGTCTGAACCTTTCACATCAATGTGAATGTGCAGTGTCTCTCCCACACTGTGCACATTTAATCACTGCTGCACTTTATGAATGGAAAAGTTCCTTTTTCACTGATAAGCTGCTGCGTTTATAGAGCTCATGCACTACCTCTATAAAATAAATGTAGTTTTGTATGCACCATGTATACAAAATGACAAAACAAAGTTAGTCTAAGTCTATTTATGTTATTAATATAGTTTGGTCTTTGGCCATGCTGAGCTGTTGCTTTACTGCGAGGTATTGCAGAAATGTTGGGCTCTATTTAGTAGCTCTATTATCATCCTACTTTCTGGTGTTTGCCAGCAGATGGTGCTGTTTCTGTTTAGGGTGCTGGAATTTTATTTAGGTTCAAACAGGTCTATAAAAACACTATCAGGGTTGATGTTTGTTGTATAAAACCTTATTCCATAATAATCAATTGGTTTTTGAGGACTTATTTTTACCATAGGAGGACAGAAAGTGATGTCAGATATTATAATTTAAAACATTTTTGTTTTCATGTGATATGTGTGTAATGAAGATGGCTGGATTGACAGCTAAAAGGCTAATGGGTGAATGTAAAGTCATATTCACTTAAATAAATCATTATTGATACATATTTATTTCAGTGACTAAATAAAGTAATTGAAAACCATAAAAAAAGAGCTCTTATGAACAGCTACTGAAAAGACAACATTTAAGATGAAGATATGACTTAATGTTGTTAGGTTTATTCTGGTAAACAAGCTTCCAGTAAATTGTAAGAGCACTGAATCCCTCAGATGCTTTATGTTTAGATTAAAAACATTCGTTATCAGTGGCCTTGACTGTGCTTTCTAAAGTTTGCAGTCCGATTATTATTCACTTTTGTATTACCTCGAGACCAAAGCAATGTAAGCAATATTATTTTCTTATGTACCTCAGCTTAAACTATGATGTTGCTGAACTGTGCTATACAGTTAAATTTGCATTGCCTTACTTTAGACCTATAAAAATAAAATAAGAGGTACCTTAAAACTGACAGACAAGCCTCATGGAAATTTACAGATTATGACCGTTAAACTTTAGGTAGTTGGACTGATGAATGGAGCCAATTTATCCAGGGGAGATTAAGGAACACACACATTGATTATATAGATTTTATATATATGAGATGTTAAATCTTTTTCCGTTTATTGATAGTAAAGATAAAATGTTTTAAGTTACTTACTTTCACTAAAGTTATACATAATCTAAAAATATAAAATTGTCTCAAAAGTAATAAAGGTCGAAAATATGGGAATATGTTTACGACGTTAACACTTTGTTTACGACATTAAACCTTTAATTTAGTTTTAAGCATAGTTTAAAGGAAAAATAATAACATGAACAAACAGGATATTCTTAATTATTGATAACTGACGTCCTGTTAGCTTCTTAGATTCACCTACTTTAACATAGCTTTTAGCTAGTAGCGGTGTCATTAGCACCAGTAATTAACGACTTTTAGGGGTTTTCTTGTTTTTTTAAAGCTTCGCTAATAGAAAGATAGATTTTATATCTCACCTTATTTGTTGTAGTTTGGAGTTCCTGTCTTTAACGGAGTCACGATGAAGTGTGAATGTGTTACTCCTGCTGGCTCGTAATCTTTCCACATCCGTTAAAATGAACTAGTCTAATAATCCTTTCTCAGGAGCAGCAGAGAAATTCATACAATGACCGAGTGATCGTGATGAAAAAAAATCTTAATTTTTTTTTTAATCAAGATGATCTCAAACATCAATGCCACACCTAAAATAAATATTAATTAACAACGTTGTTCAAATTATGAACTCTGTAGAGTTGGATTTTCTAAAAACTAAGTTTAGACTGAGTAAACTTTCACCCTCTTTTGCGTTGTCATATTTTTATGGAAATAAAAAAATAAATTTATGGCCACTGAAAAAAATTTAAAAAAGGTTAACTGATTTTTAAATGTTATTTAAGTTTAATATGGGAAAAAAGTCAGAATTCTGACTTTAATCTCAAAATTATAACTTTTTGTTCTCACAATTCTGACTTTTTTCTCACAATTCTGACTTTAATCTCAGAATTCTGGCTTTTAATCTCAGAATTCTGACTTTGTCTCAGAATTCTGACTTTTTCCTCAAAATTCTGACTTTTTTCTTAAAATTCTGACAGAATTCTGACAGCTACCAAACATGTTAGCATCAAGCCATAGCCATGTCTGTTTTAAAGGCTAAACTAGCTTGGCTGTTTTAATCACCTTCTGCTCTTCCATTAATGAAAAAGCATCACCAGGGAACCCTTGGACATTTAAAAAGACGCCTAATTCCGTCATTTTCTACCAATGTATCACTGGCCCTCCCAAACAACTCACATCTTTGTCAGTAAAGCTGAGTGCTCCCACATCTCTTCCTTCATGGTGCCCATCTACATTAAGATCCAAATTTTTGAAATTGAAGTCAGAATTCTGAGAAAAAGTCAGAATTCAGAGAAAAAGGTCAGAATTCTGAGATTAAATTCAGAATTCTGACTTTTTCTCAGAATTCTGACTTT